GGCTCAGGACAGAGATAAATGGAAGGAGCTTGTATGTGGCCTATACCCTGCCAGGGGTGAAAGGCATTGGTGATGATGATGATGATGTTACTACAGACGATCATGTGAAACAATATTATATTTAGAATCTAGATATCCGAATGGAACTTTTTTGGTGTTTTTTTGTTGTTGTTGTTGTAAACGGCAAATTACCCTCAGAATCAGTACCGGTACCGGGTTGGCTACCTCAATTTTCTGTGCATTTTAAAAGCTTTTTGATACGTGTATTGGTTTATATTTTTTAATGAAATTGGTTTTTTTCTCCCTAAAATGGAAAAAGTTATCACAGTAACTTACTAAAAAATCCACACACAAAATTCATGATCTCATGTTCTTTTATTCACTGAAGGAGAAATAAAACAGATTTGTTTGATAGAGATAATGTCATTATCGCCTGTGCCAATACAGCAAAGCCTGTTAGGACCAGTCCATGGTGAGTGGGAGAAAGCATCCCGGTAGAGAGACAGATATTTTTGTTGTGTTTTAGTTTTGTTTAGTTTAGTAAAGAGTTTTACGGCACTTGCAACACAATAAGGTCATATAAGTGCCGAAGATTAGAGGTGTTACAAGAGAGTAACAACAAACGTAAAAAAGAAGGAGGAGAGATAAGGACGATAGATGTTTAAGAGGAAAGAAGGAGCAAACCACACCAGAGCACCCGCCAACCACCCACGTTGTGTTTTAGTAAGAACTTTACGGCACTTTCAACACAATACGGTCATGTAAACACGTGCCGAAGATACGAGGTGTTGTTACAAGAGAGTAACGTACGCATGAAAGTAGGAGGGGAGATATGGATGATAGATGCTGATAGGAAAGAAGGAGCAAACCACACCAGAGCACCCGCCAACCACCCATGAAAGACAAAAGGACTGCTACTAGACAAAATAGACACAACATAGAGTGAAGAAAACTCACAGTCTTCTTTTTGTGTGTGTGTGTGGGAGGGGTTGTTGTTGTTGTTTTTTGTTGTTGTTGTTGTTGTTGTTGTTGTTGTTTTTGTCTTTTGTTTTCGTAAAAAAAAAATTTTGCATACAAGTTAGTACAACTGTGAAGGGCATAACAATCTTTTGCTTGCTCCCCCACTCACTCTTTCACTGTCTCTTCGTATTAAGGATAACAACAAGGAGGGTCGGGAAGTTCACTTGTTTATTTTTAGCATCCGACATCACGTCCAGGAATAAACAACATTTCAGTAAATATGTCATGTACATAATAATAA